CCGATCTCTTCCCCGCATTCACTCCGCCTGACTTCAAGGGTCTGCCCGACACGCTCATAGCGTACGGCTCGCGGCCTCAAGGGCGCCGGATCTCTTGCACCAAATGCGGTACCCCGCTCACTAACGTGTACTGGGACGATGACGGCAATGCACATTGGGTCGCTCCACTCGGAGCGCTCATCGTCGGTGATCTCACCCCCGAGAAGGTGTACAACATCGGCATTCACTTCTGGGTGGGCGCCACAGGGGACGGTGGGATGATACGTTGGATTCCACATGGGGGAGTCAACTGGGCGACCTGGCCGCACATGGGCATCTTCGACATTCCCAAGGAAATCGGAAAGCCGAAGCCTCACCAGAACGCTCTGGGAGACGATGTGCTTAGCTTCAGCTGCAAGTGCAAGGGAGTGCAGTTCGAGATTCTCCGCCCATCGGCCAAACCGGATGGCCCGGGCGTGAAGGAGATGGCCCCCTTGCCCAGCAAGTGGCATGCGAACCACTGCTTCTGCAACGACTGTCGGCTCTGGCTCGGCCACCTCCTTCCCAGTGCCGTCAGCGTCGGCCGGGAGCACATCCGCTGGGTGGACGACGCTACGCTCAAGGTCTACCAGAGCTCTCCGGGCATGAAGCGCATGTTCTGCGGGAACTGTGGGGCAAAAGTGGGGACGAGTTGTGACGAGAACGGGTGGATCAGTCTCTCCGTTGGGCTGATCGACATTGATGGAGAAGAGGAGGATGGCAAGGAGAACGAGGGCATTGCCGGCTTGTTGAAGGATTGGACGGAGTGGGGCGAGGAGTTCAGCTTTGGTGAAGAGGCGAGCGATATGAGACTGAGGGACGAGGTGAGGAAGGGCATGGCCAAGGATGGATTCATAAAGGGCGCGTAAGACGCGTTGTCTATGCCCAAGGGATGTTGGGAGAGCGGGTCTGGGCGCGTTACCGGAAGACGGAGAAGTTTTGACTCGGATGCCAGGGACAGACGCTAAATGCCACCTAGTATTACCGGTTGCGCCATACGTGTGCGACTGCATAGATGATTTGCCGATTGTCACAATAAGACAGATATCATAGTTGGGCGCATGTGCATACTCAACTTCAACTTTCTGCGGGTTTGGTGCGTTTTTGTGAATCGGCAATATGAGCTGGTCCTTGGGTATTCCGCCATCCTGCAGTGCTTTGAAAAATGTGTTTTGTGGTTGACCATGCTTTAAACGGTGTACAATACACGGCACAATGCCGCGGAGATTTGAATAAGGCACTTATTGAACCCTCTATGGGAGCGCGCAAGTTGTGCATACAGTCGCACGCACGTTGCGTATACAGTCGCAATGCGCATTGCCTGTTGGTCATTGAGTGGCATTCTAGGCATTAAGGGATGACATGGCATTTAGGTCATCATATGCGGCAGCCGAGTCAAAACATTGGAAGGACGGAAGGCAGACTCAGCGTGAGCGACGCGTCCTGATACGGGCGCGATTGTGAACCCAGCGTCACTCAGCGGCAGAGTTGGACCGGTTGTCTCATCGGAGTGACTGTTCGTGTACGGGTAAATGGACTGGTGACTCAATGACGGGCGTTCTGCACGCGTTTACGGCTTTGCGCGTTCGACTGGACGCTCGAAACCATGCTTCCCGATTGTGATTGTGATCCACATCTGGTACTCTGCTTGCCGGTTCGGGCCATCCGATCGTGAGGCGATGAGCTGAGCCGATCGGACTACGATTGACCAGTGTCGTTTCAGGATGGGGGAGCTGGCACGTTTCACTGAGACGGGAAGGTGCTGGATCGAGGGATGACTCAGGATGGTGTTGCTCTTTCCCGATTGGGGACCGTTACTAGAGATCGGTTCGAAGATCGTGTCTTGGTGCATCTGTGTCTCTCTGCTTGTCTGTGTCTCTCTCGTTGCCGGGTCTCTCTCGTTCACTGTCTCTCTCGTCGTCCGTGTCTCTCTCGTTTACTGTCTCTCTCGTTCCGTGTCTCTCTCGCTCTGTGTCTCTCCCGTTCTCTGTGTGTCTCTCATTTTCGGTCTCTCTCTCATTCTGTATCTCTCTATTTGACCATATGCATATCTCTGCCGTTCCGTGTCTCAGTTGTCCACAGCCATGATCGTGTGCCCCACATTGGACGGAGGCATATGAGTACCCCGCAGCCGCAGGCCCTTCGCCGGGCCGGCCCATCGGGCAATCTCGGTCGACCTCGTCCTCTGCTGGCCAATTGGTCAATTTCATCACCACGCGAACCCGATGGCCGGACATGGCGCAAGGCAGGGCGATGGAGGTGCGTCAACTTACTTTGGAACATGCAAGGATGCCGAGTAAGGCCGTTTGACACAGCTCCCCGATGGCGGCATGGGCAGGGCAGCAAGCTGGCCCCAACAGCATGCTCTGGAAGGCATGGCCGACAGCACACCTTACTTTCCCTTACTTGACATCTTTGCCCGCGGCCTTCGCCAACGGACGCTCATCCACCGCGCTGCGCTGAATCTGTAGAATGGCCCACATAAGGGCGCCCTCGCCTCTCAGCCCCGGCGATACGACCATCACAACCGAAGATGGTATCCTCGCTGCGGCACGCGAGATGCGGGAGGAGGACGAGAATGAGACTCCCGCGGAGAAGGCCGAGGAGGAGCGCATAGAGAAGGAGCTGCCATACTCCAGTACGCTCACATTGTTGCCCTTGCACGATGTGCCTGACTGATCCTGACTTCTCACAGTCTTCAAGCCGTGGGAGAAGTGGTTCATTGTGTTCATGACCTCCATGGCCGGCATCTTCTCCCCGCTCAGCGCAAACATTTACTTCCCCAGCATACCCGTCCTGGCTGACGTGAGTATGCACCGGACTGTGAGGGACCTTACTCATACTTCCCAGGCTTTTAACGTCCCAATAGAGTCCATCAACGTCACGGTCACGGTGTACATGATACTTCAAGGCATCTCACCTATCCTTTGGGGCAGCCTCGCCGACTCTGCCATATGCGGCCGCCGACCCGTCTATCTGTCTTGCCTCCTCCTCTTCTGCATCACCTGCGTCGGTCTGGCCGTCACACCAACAAGCATGTACTGGCTCCTCCTCCTCATGCGTTGTCTCCAGGCCGCCGGATGTGCCAGCGTGATTGCCTTAGGTGGGCGCACAGTTCTGTCTTCTTCGGTGTCTGAGGCATGTGCAGGTGCGGGTACTATCATGGACATTGCGGCCCGCGCCGAACGAGGCACGTACTTGGGTGTCTCCGCCTTGGGACCAATGATCGGACCCGCGCTCGGACCCGTTGCAGGCGGCTTACTCGCAGGTGAACTGGGATGGCGGTGCGCATATATCTGACGATCCCGAACCGAGCTCTGAGTTGCAGTCAGATGGGTGTTCTGGTTCATGTGTATCGCGTGTGGCTTTGTGCTGGTGCTTGAGTTCATCTTCCTTCCTGAAACACTACGCGCCATTGTAGGCGACGGTTCTATCCCACCACCTAGACTGAATAGGCCACTAGTCCCAATCCTCGGTAGAGGCCGTAAGAATCAAGCGCGTTCGATGGCCAGGCGGGAAGCAACTCGCTCGAACACTCCGCTGGACACGCTGAAGTTGTTGAGGAACATTGACCTGGACATTATCCTTGCGACGACGGCCATCCCTTATTCGGTATTCTACGCAATCACCACGTCGACCTCGCCAGTCTTCCTAGCAGTATTTCCCTGGTTGACAGAGGTTGATCTCGGTCTGTGCTTCCTCGCAAACGGCATTGGAAGCCTGTGTGGCAGCATAACCAGTGGACGGCTTCTGGATTGGGAGTGGGCCCGTGCCAAGAGGCACGCGAAAGAGAGGGGTGTGAGCGAATACGACTATGTCGAGCATGCCAGGCTGAGGATATCCCCCTTCTACTGGGTGATGTTTGTCGTGTTCACCATTGCTTATGGTCAGTCTGCATTTCAGGTTCACATCATCGCGACCGACCCGTTATTTAGGCTGGACTGCTGCATTCCGTGTGCACATCGCTGCTCTTCTCATATTCCAGTTTTTTGGTGAGTGCGGCTAATCATATGGTGCCACGCATCTAAACCATCCAGCCGGATGGGCATTATCTGGAATCTTCACTTCAAATCGTACGTGCTTGTCAATCCAGCTGATTTGAAGGGACTGACTCTCGGAAAGAAACGTTGATGATGGATCTCTTCCCTGGACGGGGTGCATCGGTGACTGCTTGTGTGCGTCTTTTGCGTGACCCTTGAGAAAGCTTGCATAACAATCCTGCAGAACAACTTGGTCCGCTGCCTCACAGGTTCCGTGGTCGTCTCGGTTGTTGACTTTAGCATCACGAATCTCGGAGCGGGATGGACGTTTACTATCATGGGCTTGGCCACTGCTGCAACAGCATGGCCGCTAACCTTTATCGAGTGGAAGTACGGCCCAGGCTGGAGGAGGCAGCGTGAAGAGAGGCTGGCCAAGAGCGAGTAAGATGAGAGGCGAGTTGCCATTACGTTGCATTTGTATCATAATACGCAAATGAGAAGTGGGATCAAGAGGAGTTGCAGGGCCCAAGTTATGGGTTAGTTCTTTGGGCATGGAATGTTAAGCCATACTTTTGCTTTCACGAAATGATTCTGCGTTGAAGTTGTGGTCATTTGGAGCGCACCCTGTCTTCAGGGCTATGGCAACAACATTTCGGTATCCATTGAACGACGGCACACAGCACACAGCACGTACAACCATTGATAGGATTGACCCTTCACATCTCGCAGAAATATGAACCCCGTAGTGGCTAACCCCACACATCTTTGAGAAGCAACTGTAACCGCGATGCATATCAGTAACACTACTCGGGGCCGGGGGAGGGGACATCCCACGCACCAACTGCATATGCGTAACATCATGTTCGGCGAAGAACAGTCCCCATAAGCGGACCCTGCAAGCTTTTGGACGCTGGCACCATTCGTGAGTACCGGGCGTATGCCACTCAAAGTACTCGTAGAACCTGTTTCAAGACTTCAAAATCGTTCGTTGAAATCATGTCTGCCCACATGGTCTAGTGGTAAGATCCCCCGTTCGGGTATGTTCTGCTTCGGGGGGGTCCTCAGTTCAAATCTGGGTGTGGGCCTTTTTTGCACTTTATTTGCACTTTATTTGACGAGAATTGAGTGAGAATTGAGCGAGGAATCGTCGAAACGAGGTGGAGGTGAGGGCGCATGCTGTGTGGGACGATTTGCAACTGGACTAGGCCAGGGTCCAGCGGGAGCATTTGGGGCTTCGCAGTAACCATGTAAGCCTTTCTTTTTCACTTATTTTGACGTCGTTTGAGTGAGAATTGAACGAGGAACCTTCGAAACGAGGGAGGACCTTAGGTCGCAATGCTGTGCTAAAATTTGCAACTGGACCAGGCGGACCAGGGTCCAGCGGAAGCATTCGGCTCTTCGGGCGCAGCACCCACGTGCTTCCTTGATGAAGTCCACGCGGACCCTAGCCCCACCACTCAGGAAGAACGTGGCCTAAGCGGTCACTTCCATTTGGCACAAGGGTCTTCCCGACTGGAACGCCGAGTCACTGACCGCTCTTGCTGGCCACTCTCTCAACTGCCACCATGACAGACAGTCAGCCCGACCTCTACAAGGTCTCCATCTTGGGCAAAGAGTCCATCCACTGCGGTTTCCACCTCATACCATACATCGCTCACACCGTCCTCACGACCTTGTCGTCGTCGACCTATGTGCTTGTCACCGACACGCGCGTCGCCAAGTTCCACCTCGGCGCCTTCCAAGCCGCCTTTGACGCCGAGCTCAGCTCCATTCCGGTGGAGAAGCGTCCTCGGTTCTTGAGCCACCTCATTCCGCCCGGAGAAACATCAAAGTCGAGGGAGGGCAAGGCAGAGATTGAGGACTTTTTGCTCGCAAACGCATGTACGAGAGACACCCTTATCCTCGCGCTCGGTGGAGGCGTCGTCGGCGATCTGGTCGGCTTTGTTGCAGCGACCTTGTAAGCAGCTCCTCTACCACAGGACCAACCTGACCGTCATTAGCATGCGCGGCGTTCGCTTCGTGCAGATCCCCACGACATTGCTCGCAATGGTCGACTCGAGCGTCGGAGGAAAGACTGCGATTGACACGCCCCATGGAAAGAATCTCCTTGGCGCTTTCTGGCAGCCAGAGTACATCTTTATAGACGCGGCGTTCCTCGAGACCCTGCCTCTGCGAGAGTTTTCCAACGGCATGGCCGAGGTTGTCAAGGTAGATCGTCATCATCCCACCCGGCGTCATCTGACGCTGTCACAGACGGCAGCCATCTGGGATGAAAACGAGTTTGCCACGCTCGAGTCTCGCGCTGTTGATATCACGTCTGCCATCCAGATCGAATCGGCAAAAAACTCTCACGCCGGTCGCACTGTTTCCACCCGTTCCGAGTCTCAGAAACTCTTGCTGTCGGTGATCGTCGGTTCAATCTCTGTAAAGGCGCACATCGTTACCATCGACGAGCGAGAGACTGGCTTGCGCAACTTGGTCAATTTTGGACATACTATTGGCCACGCCATAGAAGCCGTACTGACGCCCACCATGCTGCATGGAGAATGCGTTAGCGTCGGCATGATCTTTGAAGCCGAAGTTGCTCGCCAAATGGGTGTCCTGAATCAGGTCGCCGTGGGCAGGCTCTCGCGCTGCCTGAAAGCATACAACCTGCCAATCTCTGTGACCGACTCTCGCATCGCATCTCTGCCCGCTGCGCGGCAGCTCACCGTGGACCGGCTCCTTGACATCATGAAGGTTGACAAAAAGAACAGCGGCACGGTCAAGAAGATTGTCATTCTGTCGCGGATCGGCGCTACCTACGAGCAAAAGGCAACAGCCGTGTCGGATCAACGTATCCGAAATGTCATTTCAGAGGCCGTCACGGTTATTCCTGGCCTGCCACGCAACGCCCCTGTCAAAATGGCGACCCCCGGCAGCAAAAGCATTTCAAACCGTGCTCTGGTGCTTGCGGCACTAGGTCAAGGCACCTGTCGGCTCAAAAATCTTCTGCACTCGGACGACACCCAGGTGATGATGCAGGCTTTGATAGACTTGCAGGTATGTCTTACGCATCACAATATCGCAGCATCTTAAGACGTCCTAGGGAGCGACATTTTCCTGGGAGGACAACGGTGATACGCTAGTCGTTCAAGGGGGCGGTGGTGCCCTCGCAGTTCCGCCAAACGGAAAGGAAATCTATCTCCAAAACGCTGGCACGGCGGCTCGCTTCCTGACCACAGTCTGCACGCTGGTCAAGTCGGATCAAAAGGGAGCTGCCACGGTCATTACCGGAAATGCCCGGATGAAGCAACGACCCTGCGGTCCATTGGTCGACGCTCTCCGAGCCAGCGGCAACCCAATCGAGTATCGAGAGAGCGTGGGATCGTTGCCCCTGTCCATCACAGCCACCCCAGCGGGCATGCACGGTGGCCATATTCGTCTAGCTGCAAGCATATCCAGCCAGTACGTTTCCTCCATATTGCTTTGCGCACCATACGCCACGTTGCCCGTCGTTCTGGAGCTTGTCGGTGGTCAAGTCATCTCGCAGCCTTACATTGACATGACGATCGGGGTCATGAAATCGTTTGGCATAAACGTGACTCGGGACGTTGATGCGTCAGGCAAGCCCCTGGACGTGTACAGGATTCCGACCGGTCCCTATCGCAATCCACCGCAGTTTACGATCGAGTCGGACGCAAGCAGTGCCACGTATCCGTTGGCCATCGCGGCCATCACGGGCACCACTTGTACCATCACTGGAATTGGAGCTGCGTCAGTCCAGGGAGATGCTGGCTTTGCCAAGCAAGTCCTGGAACCAATGGGATGCAAGGTTGTCCAAACTGAGGACGAAACCACGGTCACCGGTCCTCCTATAGGCCAACTGCGCGCGATTGGATATGTTGATATGGAGCCAATGACGGACGCCTTCTTGACGGCGTCTGTTCTGGCAGCCGTGGCTACTCGAGACTCTCTTCCGGGGAGAGCGCTGACGGGCGCCCCGGCAAATACAACACGCATCCTGGGTATCGCGAATCAAAGGGTGAAAGAATGCAACAGAATCAAGGCCATGATCGATGAACTGGGTAAGTACCGGGTCAGATCACGGGGCGCTGTCTCACCGCCTTACCAGCTAAATTTGGAGTGCAAACCAAAGAGCTTGATGATGGATTGGAGATTTATGGGAAACAAATCGAGGGACTAAATCACGGTGCCAGTGTTGACTGCTATGACGATCACCGTGTCGCAATGGCGTTCAGCGTTCTCAGCACCGTGGTGGCGGGAACTATTATCGAGGAGAAACGTTGTGTGGCGAAAACCTGGCCGAACTGGTGGGATGATTTGGAGAACAAGGTGATGTCGACCAGCTGACGCTTCCAAGCAAAGCCTAACGCAGTGTTTGATCCAGATTGGTCTATCAACTGAAGGCGTTGAACTGCACTCTTCTGCTGGACCTTCCACGTCTCGCTCGTACGAGCCTGAGGCGTCCGTCTTCCTGACTGGTATGCGGGGTGCTGGCAAAACATTCATCGGCACATTGGCAGCGGAAGCTTTGGGCTGGGAATTCACGGACGCGGATGCCGTCTTCGAATCAAAGCACGGGATGCTTGTCTCAGAGTTTGTTCGAGACAATGGCTGGGCGGCATTCCGAGACGCAGAGGAAGCCGTTTTGAACGACCTTATCCTGACAAGGAGAAAAAAGCACATTGTCAGTCTCGGAGGTGGGATCGTCGAGACACCGTCAGCACGCGAAGCATTGAAGAAGTACGCCAAGGCTCAAGGGCCCGTGGTGCATGTCGTGAGAGACATCGACGAGATCGTCCAGTATCTAGGCACAGAAACATCCAGACCCGCCTATGGCGAGGCTATAGAAGATGTGTTCCGACGAAGGCAACCGTGGTACGCCGAAGTGTCTAGTCACGAATTCATCAGCCACACGCAACCTGCGACTCCCTCTCAACATCCAAAGAGCAATGGTCACGTGGGCGGCACAGCGAAAGTCGACCCGATCCTTCCGGCTGGTAGCGGTGTCGAAGGAGAGGTGAAACGGTATTTTGAACACATCACTGGTCTCCATCCCAACTTGGCGCCGAACGTGCAACCGGACAAACGATCGTACTTTCTGTCTCTCACCTTCCCAGACCTGACACCCGCTCTTCCGCTGTTGGATCAACTCACTACTGGCGTTGACGCGATCGAGGTTCGAGCCGACTTGCTCTCTACGTCCGGCTTGCCAGTCACCCACCCAACGGTTCCGCCCCGAGCATACATTGCAACACAGCTTGCAGCCTTGCGTCAAATCACTCGCTTGCCCATTGTGTTCACCTTACGGACTGCCTCTCAAGGTGGAATGTACCCGGATAGCGCTCACTCCGAAGCCTTTGATCTCTTCGACCTGGCACTGCGCCTCGGCTGCGAATACATCGACCTCGAAGTTTCGTGGCCAGAAGAGCGTATTCGCGAGTTAAATTCCAGAAAGGGCAACTCCCAAGTGATCGCCTCGTGGCATGACTGGAGCGGTCAAATGAAGTGGCTAAGCTCTGATGTCAATCAGAAATACAAATTAGCTGCAGAGCTAGGCGATATCGTAAAGATCGTTGGGACTGCAATCGATCTTGGCGACAACATTGATCTGCACCTTTTTGTGCGGTCCCTTGGTAAGGCTCCTCGCAAGCCGCTGCTCGCGATAAACATGGGAGAGCAAGGGAAGCTGTCCCGCGTTCTCAACTCGACCTTTAGTCCGGTGACTCATCCTCTGCTGCCTTCGCGCGCCGCTCCTGGACAGCTGTCTTTCGCCGAAATCCAACAAGCGTTACACCTTATCGGACAGCTTCCGAAGCAGCGATTCTACTTGTTCGGCACCCCTATCAGTCATTCAATGTCGCCCACTATTCACAACACCGCGTTTTCGGCTCTTGGTCTGCCTCATCGTTATGTCCTTATGGAAACCGAATCCGTCGATGACACAGTCAGGACAGCTATCATGGCGCCTGACTTTGGGGGAGCCTCTGTCACCATTCCCCACAAGCTCGCTATTATTCCACTTCTGGATCGACTTTCCGAAGAGGCCCAAGCCATTGGGGCCGTGAACACGATAATTCCC